CACGGTGATTTTGTATGCAGTAGCAGGTCTAGTGATTTTGTATGCAGTAGCAGGTCTGGTGAATCTGTATGAAGTAGCACATCTGGTGATTTTATATTCCAGATCTGACGCCTCTGGAGTTTTTCCTTTGGGGAAACATTAAACATGTTAGGTTGGTGCAACCTTAACAAAGAAACCAATCAATTTCAAAAACCATTTAAGAATTTCTCTATCAGTTCAGTGCTATTCATGTTAATGAAGTTACGTAGATCACTTGTTGCACAGTTTTGCTTTCATTTCAAAAACTGAAGTAGAAAAGAAACATTTTCTAGTCTGAGCCCAATAATTTTGTTTCCAGATGGAATAAAAACTGGAGCTCAACTTGCATATAAATATTCCATAAATAATTCCTTAGTAGTTGTGTAATTCAATATTCTTAGTCTAAAGAATTGTGAAAAAAAGTCAAGGTCAACTTTTACAGTTACCCAAATCTTCACTCATACATCTTTAAAACTGATAAGTAAAAACCTTCAGACTGGGCTCATGTCTGTTAAAGTATCTTACGAAATCCAATATATTTCTCCAAACAATAACTTTCAGCTGGCTTAAAAGATATTCTGCGTAAAAGTCTCCTTCATGTATGTAAATCTTCAGGCCTTTTTTTCTCGAAAAGAGAAACAGAAATGGAAAATGTAATCTGAAGTATAATATGCCTTCCAAATGCCTAGGGAAAAAATGCAAAATGGATTCTTTCTTTAGATGTCAGGAACAAAGGTAGACATTTGTGGCAGAAAGAAGTCAAATTTTATCTGAGTGCTAGAAATAACATTTTCTTAAGTTACACTTCGTGAAGAATGGGGAATCAAACTGACAGGAAAAGAAAGTGTTTTTTCAGACGCAGAGCTCTTTTGCCAAATCAAAGTATGGACGAATTTTAATATAGATGCGTCGTGAAATGTAAACACTTCAAATATATTATTTATATGTCTCTCGTAAGCCATGAAATTAATTAGAAAAGCTCTCAGAGTTTTACTCATCACACACTATAAAAAATATTTTTAAAAAATTATTATTTATTGTTAAAACAAAATTAGATGTAAGGAGTTCAAAAATACAGAGATTAATCTGACACTATAAAATGTTATTTACCAGCTTTGCTTACATCAGCAAAGCATTAAAAGGATACTAACATAAAAAATACATAAGAAAATCGCAGAAGGAGCAGTTTCATATAAGTCTTTAAAAATATAATCATAAAGCTCTTGGGAACCACGAGCGGTAAAAGTTGATGAACACTAGGAGCTCGGGCCGAGGAACGAATCTCGCGAACGGGCTGGCTGCATGGGCGCTTTCGTGTTTTTCTTCGTGTGTAACAGCTATACTAGCCAGCTTCCCTTAGAAAGTCCTCCACGAAGGCCTCCCTCTCCTTAGGCAGATAGCCTTCGAGTGCTTTGCCATAATCAACTAAACCAAACTAAACCAAACCAAACGATAAAGCTGCCGACTGTGAGAGTTGTAAGATAAATCTTAGCAGTTCTATAAGCAAATGAATAATTTTAATAATTTTAGTTATTATTCTGTTGCTTCTAGTTTGTTTACGTAAATTCTATTTTCGTAAGTGATTTATTTGATTTTGAATAGGAATGTAGGAGAAATGTTTCAATAAAGCTCACCTTGTTTTTAGTTTAACTGGATAATATTGATGCAAGATTTTTAAACACTTCTAAATATTTTAGTGAATCTCTTAATTTAACCTTTTCACGTGGACTGCGGGGGCTAATTCTTTATACATTAAAGCCATTTAGTTTAAGCAAGGATCAGAAAAACAAATCAACATGGTCTGTCATTTACTGTTTCGTATTATGTAGTAAATTTTAAATCTCCATAGTAAACTAAAATTTTCTAACCTTATTTAATGTAGAGAATGCGTGGTACATTTAGTCCCAGTTTCCAGGAAAAGGTTAGTTATTACTCTGTTGCTTCTTGTTTGTTTATATAAACTTCTGTTTTCCTAAAAGATTTAATTTTGAATACAAACGTATGAGGATTGTTTCAATAAAGCTCTCGCAGTTTTTAGTTTAACTGGATAATATCGATGCAAGATTTTTAAACACTTCTGAGTATTTTAGGGAATCTTTTAATTTAACCTTTTCACGTTGACTGCGGAGGGCTAATTCTTTATGCACTGAAGCCATATAGTTAACTATTAAAAATCAGCAAGGAACAGAAAACAAATCAGCATGGTCTGTCATAATGCGAAGCAGTAGCTTCGCATTATGTAGTAAATTTTAAATCTCCATAGTAAAGTAATTTTTTTAATATGGCGAATGCATGGGACATATAGTCCTAGCTTCCAGGAAAGGTTAATTATGTACAAAAGATGAATAAAATTCATTTATACCAAACAAGTAAATTAATATGTTATGAAGCCTTATCTAATGTGAATTTAATTAAATGACTTTAACTAAGAAGCCATTTAACTGTCGCACGGGAAGAAAAATAGGAGCGAAACTATTGACTTAGATGATGAATAAAGTATATTGCAAAATCAAATCATGCTCAAACTTTCTTGCTGGCAGAACCTCCTGCTCTTGCAAAATGTATGATAATAGATTTTGCTTATTTTGTCTTATGATTCGTATCACGCTCCACAACGCACACGTATAAAAAAGACAGTTACAAATTACTGCTTATAGCGTGAGCATATTTTTTCTATTGTACTCTTCTTATCTTCATTTGTTAAAGTTTAAATGGCTGGCAAAGCGCCAAAATTTATTTTCGTTTAAAGAGAAACTAATCATCCTATACGCAGAGTAGCTGTCATGTCAAGTTTGGTTTATAGTTAATCATGCGCAATTTAAGTATTGTCTACAAATTTATCATAAACCGCGATTTATCTCTGTTACACTATGACAAATATGAGAATCATCTTTTTTTTTATGTGCTTCTATTTGCCACTTTTTATTCTCCTTTGTCGTTCATTTTGTGTTTTTATCCAAATTAAGAGTTTTTATAGAGTTGGTCTTATCTGTTCGGTTTTTGAGGCCAACCAGCGGCCGAGCGATAAAATCGCTGAATACTGGTAGTTTGGTCCGGGTTTCGAGTCACGGCAAATGGTTGGCTGCATGGACGTTTTCAGGTTTTTCCCCATGTGTAACGTGTATACGAGCCAGTTTCTCTTAAGACATCCTCCACGAAAGTATCCCTCCTCTTAGGCAGATAGCTCCAAAAGTGCTTCGCCATAATTAAATAAACCAAACCTGTTTGGGTTTTGAATAAGAAAAAATTACCGTGAAGTTTGCATGTTTATTTTCGGTTTAACAAGTTTAATAAATATTTTTTAATAATGTAACGCATGCACGTATGTATGTATGAATATATACAGGAGATTCCCGATGAACCGGCCTATATGGAATCAAATCTTTAGACTGCGCCGATTTAAAGGATAGAAATTATTATTAAAAGGATAGAAAATTGCAAGTTGTAAATCTGATTTAAACAGTATGGGTACTTACGTATTATCTCGTCGACTGGCCAAGTAGTACGATTTAGTAGTACGAAATTTCCGCCAACGGTCGATGGGATAGTACGTAAGTACAGTACATAAGGTATCTGTATTCTATGAACCCTTCTTAAAACTATTTTTATTTATTTGTAAAATATAAATTGTCACTTTCCCCATTTCTTGATTCAAAAATATAATTACTCTAATTACTACGCAATGGTATCCGCTAAAGAAAGGAATGTTTCTTGGAACACTTTCAAAGGAAACTCGCAATTATCCACGTTACACAGGGGGGGACCACGAAAACGTCTGTGCAGCCATCCCGTTCGCCGGTTTCGAATTCCCGACCGAACTATCACAATTCAGCAACTTTACCGCACCAGTGGCCATGATGAAGGCATTTGAAGGTAATATCATTGGTAGATGGTTTTCTTCTCAAGTCACCCCTACAATTTTTCTGACATTTGGTTCACTATGCATTCATTTCACAAGAGCCCACCAGCGGCCGAGCGGTAAAGACGCTGAACACTGGTAGTTCGGTCCGAAGTTCGAATCCGGCTAACGGGCTGGCTGCATGGGCGTTTTCGTGGTTTTCCTCATGTGTAACGTGTACACGAGCCAGTTTCTCTTAGAAAGTCCTCCACGAAGGCATCCCTCCCTTTAGGCAGATAGCCCTCGTGTGCTTTGCCATAATTGAATAATCCAATCATTTCACAAGATCTCCATTAGCAAAGCATTCTAACACTAAATTACATTTGAAAATTTAGCATGCTCTATTTCCGCTTGCTGGAATTCAGAATTTCAAATTAAAGCAAATTCAAAACAGAACTATCGTAAAAGAATGTTCCTGAAGCGAATGTGAATCTTGCTAAAATACGATTTCTAAAAGTGAGTCTGGTTAAAGTGAAACCAGATAAGGAGGTCAATGAAAATGTATTATAATTTGCATACTGTTTTCATGCTTCTTTTATATTATGTTTCACTGAATGAATGAATGAATATTATGTTTCACTTAATATATGTTATAACTTTTGTAGTTTTCATGCTTTGATATGAATAGTATTTTACACTGAATATATATTATAAATTGTGTACTATTTTCATGCTTCATTGATATAAATATTATATCTACTGATCATATGTTATAATTTTTGTACTGTTTTCATGCTTCTGTGATGTGAATATTATTTTCCATTGAATATATGCTATAATTTGTGTACTATTTTCATGCTTCATTGATACGAATTTTTTTTCCGTTGAATATATATTATGCTTTTTGTACTGTTCTCATGCATCTTTGACATGAATATAATTGTCCATTGAATATATGTCTTAATTTTTGTACTGTTTTCATGCTTCTTTGACATGAATATTACTTATATATATAGATACAGTATATTTTTTTTAGTTATATTCAATTACATTTAATATGAATTACGTAGTTTCTAACATGTAGTACTTATTAATGCAGTAATGTAGTTTTTTTGAATGTACTAAAACTTTTCTTTTTTTTTAGGTGGCTTTGTTCAAGGGCAGCCTGAGCTTCAACAGGTAAATTAGATTTTATTTCTGATTGGCATTTAAAATTGAAAGGATTATTTACTAAATACATGTAATTATAAGTTCTGTCGAAAATCAAGTGAACTGCAGTTAATCTTACTCAAACAAAAATGTTAATGTATTGGTTTCGCTTGAATATTACGTACAAAAATAAATAATAAAAAACTGAAGTCATCCAGTTGCAAAAATACAATATTTACTCGCATATTTCCTCCCTCGGGTACTTTATCCATTATATTTTCAGCATTTAATTTAGAAATTCTGATTCATGCTAACAATGTAAAATGTGTGCACAAATAGTAAAGTAATCTGCCTAAGTAAAAATAATATTATTGAAATTGATGAAGTTCTTTGAAATACATATTATAACATTAGTGTCTTATGTCCTTATTTATGCCTTTAAATGTGCTAGATTTATCATTATCATTTAAGCCATTACTTCAGAAGCAGTATACACTGCGTATATTTCCAACGCGGTTTTCAAGCGGTAAAATTAATAGAAAAAGGGAGAAAATACGCGAATAAAGACAACATTTTGCTCAAGTTGTAAATAAGATAATTAAGCTGATTAATTTCACAAAATGTTTGTTAAAGTCACAATAATTTTCTGATATATATTAATTAAATTTGAGTTAAAATAACACGCCGAATAAAAATATATCAATATGACATTCATAAATTTGGAGGACTCATTTCGGAGGTTTAAATACAGAACAAATCTACTTCAGCTGCAGAAGTGTAAATGACGAAAAAGAAACAAGTGTCAAAATAAGGCGATAAGAATGACAGGAAAGAAGGCAAGCTGCTGGCGCCCTCTATTGATGGAAAATGAAAACAACTATGAAATGATATTCTTAAAACCTTGAGGATAAAGGCGGATTGGAATTCGAATCGTAACGAAATCGTAACGAAAACTGAAAGACATTTATGAATGTGAAATGCCACTAGAAAATCTTAATTCGCCAACGAGAGATGTTTTTTGAGTAATTTTGGGTACATAAAGATCTTATCACTGGCTTCTCTTTCGTCATTTGCACTTCTGTAATTGAAGAAGAAGATTCTGTATTTAAATATTCGAAACTAATTCTGTAAATTCATGAATATTAAGCAGATTCTCGTTGCTTTAACTTCTCCAATAATATATTAACTACTAAGCATTATCATTAATTAAGAAAATCTTTCTTACTTTTACATCTACTGTTACTCTTAAGCATGATTTTAAATTATATTTATTTAATATTTCCCAATATTTACTCGCATATTATGAAGAAGCAAAATTTTAAAATAATACACTGATATCAACTGCTTATCTTGTTTTGGCTTTGGTTTAGTTTATTATGGCAAAGCACAGTAAGGCTATCTGCCTAAGGGGAAAGATGCCTTCGTGGAGGACCTTCTAAAGAAAACTTGCTCGTGTACACGTTACACACGAGAAAGACCACGAAAACCCCCATACATCCAGCTCCTTCGCCTGAATTCGAATCCAGGTTGGAACTACCACTGTTTAACGATTTTACCGCTCGGCCGCTAGTGCATATTTTGGATTTTGATACATCTGGGTATATATTTTGAAACAAAAATTAGTGAACAATGTAGTTAATCAAATATAACATCTGAAGTATGGTTAAATGATTTAACTTATATCACTTCCTTCGAGTATTAAATATATCTGCACGAAAATTAGATGCATATAATTTATACTGAATGGACTGTAAAACAATGTATTAACATTGCTACTAGTAATTAAATACCTAGGTGTAGTTTGTTATTATGACCGTAGCTCACTTATCTGATAATAACATCAGAACCAGGCCACGAAACTTATCGAGGCAAGGAGTGCAAGATTGCGCTTGTCGTTGGCAAGAGCCTAGAGCATCATACAGGTGACAGTATGACTTTGCTCAATTCCACCCCCAGTTTTGATGGAGTGCACCCCGGGGTACGGGTTCGAGGGTCTCCCTCTCCTCTTCACCTGCCACAAATTTCTTGAGAGGACTTTCGGCTCCTTGCATATTTAGAGTGCCCCATGCTGCACAGATAGTATACATTTTCAAATATCCATGCCTTCTCCGGGATACGAATCCGAGCAATCTCTGCACGGCAGTCAGCGACGCTAAAAGCACACACCCCCCCAAGTTATACATATTCAATTAAAATATTAATTCATTTTTAATTATCAAGGAATTGTTAATAATTAATCATATTTATTTCTCGTTCATATTAGCACATTATTTCCTTTATATCTCTTCTTTCTCTCAATCGTTTCACAAAAGCAACTATGTGCATGCGTATCGCGTAAGTCGCTGCTATAAATGTGGGTCGCGATGCTAAAAAGTTTGTGAAATGCTACTTTAAAAATTTAACATAAACCTTATTTATATTTAAATTCAGCCTATACTTTTAGGTAAATTCTTAACCAGATAGCTTCGGTAGAGAAGGAATTATTGGTCCTAATATGCTTCTATGGGAATTATTGGTCCTAATATGCTTCATGAAAACATTGCGCACATCATAATACCCTCGCCACCAGCTTGTCGCCGTCGAACTGTGCATCTGAGAACCAGGGTTTCGTTTGGAAATCGGCGTATTGGCATACGCCTGTCGATGTGATGGACCAGAAAACGTGATTCGTCGGACCATGCAACTTTCTTCCATTCTTCTAATGTCCGATTCCAATTTTTCTTGGCCCATTGCAGGCGCAGCTGGCGATGACGTGTCGTCAGGGCAGAAACATGCTTCGGCCTCCGGCTACGTAGGCCCATACGCAGCAGTGTATGTTGTGACCCAGACAGTGTGTTGAGAAACACTGTCTGGGTCACCATTGTTGTAACTGGTGGTGATTTCGGCTGTTGTAGCTGTTCGGTCACGGCGAACGATGCTTACTAATCTCCGCTCTCCTCTGAAATCATTTCCCCTTCGACGTGACATTGCTGGCCTGTGACTTGTCGTTTCACCATCCATATATCACTTTCGATATGTGCTCACAACAACTGTACGTGAACAGCCCACTAAACGCGCCTTTTCGGATATTGATGTTCCCAGTCGCCGAGCCATAACGATTTGACCTTTATAGAAGTCTGCTAAATCAGCTGCTTTTTCCATTATGTCGATAATCGCGCTATGTTTGGAACTTGATACTTTGATACTATTGTTATTATTCTGGCATGCAGCGTGGAATTCCTATCCCTGCTCTTTCCAGATTCCTGAGTGAATCCCGAATCGGGCCTGACGTCTGAGAAAGTCCGTAAATAGTATTCTCCAGATGATGTATACGCTGAGGTGGGAAAAACTTTGAAGTTCATTGTTTCCTGGGAGAAAATATCAAGACTGGATGGAGCTATAGAAGGGGCTGTTGTCAGGCACCGTTTAGCTGGTCACGTGGCCAAAAGCAGTGAATCTAATGTCAATGAGGGGCGTGGCTTGCCAACTACTGCTCTAATTGAAAAGATATATGCACACAATTCAAAACAATTACATGAAATATTCAGAAATTGCTATGTACACTATTTACATGGTGAAGAAATGTACTTTTAAGAACAGCACTGAAATGGCTGCTACTTTTCAAGCTACTGGGGGCCGGAGATTGCCTGGCTGAGCGGTAGCATATAAAGTCCAGTATGTCGAAAATCACAGTAAAGGAATAAAAAGTCTTAAAATTTCTTGGTATGTCCGAAGTCGAGAGAATGACCCCCGTAAAATATTCGTAAAATACAAACAGTTCATCTAAAACACTGTTGGGTCAGTTGCGGTGCATGAATTAACGAAAAAATGTGTTAATTAAATCCGACGACCATAGGAGATTATCTGCACTTTCACTTGGCTGGCCTGATTTGTTTGTAGTAGGTGGGCGGCGAATGGGCGTAGAAGTTTGTCTTCGCTCAGAATTTCGTAGGAAAGCACTTCAGCGAATTTCGCTGGGTTGTTTATCAAAGCTCTTGCGAAGAAATTCTCATTAATCCTATTGATGAAATTCTGAACTAGTTCAATTTTCAGGTCGAAATGAAGACTTTTATTTCGGACGTAATATGGCGCACCAGTGATTGTGCGAAGAAACTTATTTTGCACTACCTGAATTTTCTTAATATCCTTATCTGTGGCATTGGCGTAGGTAGGGGAGGCATAGGTCAGAATCGGTGGGATAACCGAAAGATAAAAACTTTTTTCTTTAGGTTCAGTGATAGATTATCACTCTTAAAAAGTGGAAAACTGTTGAACTTGATCCTGTAGGCTTTCAAGCAGGCCTGGGTCACGTTACCTTTCCAGGTGAGGTTGTTATTTAGCGTGACACCTAAGTAACTGGTTTTCTTAACAAGCGGGACAGGAGATCCAATTAAAATAACTTTTGATTTGAGAAGACCTCGTCTTCGGTGTTTCCTGATGACCAAGATTTTCGATTTAGTCGGCTGGATACAGGTTTTTCAGCGGCTGAGACAATGCACAGCCGCTTTATGTATTCCAACATCAGCCTCGCACGCGCAGTGCTGTTTTTCCTGGGCAAGCCCATTGTTAATAGATGAAAGGTGGTCATAATATAATGGCTCTTCGGTATATATATATATATATATATATATATATATCATTCTCATTTACTGAAATCAAAGATTTAGGTATCAGACTGTTTTTTGATGTTGAGCTTATTCAAACCTTTCCAGGAGGAAGAATAGTAAAGATGAACTGCGGAGATGAACTGTATCGAAGTTCTTCAGCATCTCGTTAATAACCAGATAACATTTCGTTTGGTTTCACAATAAAATACTCGAAAAGTTTCAAATTATTTAAACGAGCTTTGTTTGGTGCTCATTTAGCAATGTTGAGAAAATTGCTTGTGGCATCACCACGTGAGCCGATCTCAAGCTGCCAGAAATTGATAATCACGTCTTGATAATAAAAAAATCGACGTGTCGCCAATTGTGTTGTATGACGTAGAGATGAATTATGGCTTAGTTAGAAATGTGTTAAATAGTTATATGTGACCGACTAATGCGACATTG